GCCCTATGAGTGTTGCATTCTCTAAGCTCTCTTTCCTCATTATATGTCCTAGAAATTATCTCTGTATAATTTCCTACATAAATTTTTCTTTAATAAGATTTTTCAAACATTCGGACCAGAAGACAAAAATAAATAAATATATTGTTTAATAAATAAATGAAGCGTCTACTGAACTACGAGTATCTCTTAAAAATAACGTCTAAATTGATAAAAAATCTTTCGGATTAATAAAAATCTATTACTATCCTCAGAGAAAATGTTTTATTTACGTTTGGATACGAAACTGTGCAGATATGAAAAATTTCAGTAAATCTATGACGAAAGAAGATTCGTTTAAAGGCCGGATCTAACTACAGTTATCCGCAGAAAGTGTGTGTGTGTGTGTGTGTGTATATATATATATATATATATATATATATATATATATATATATATATATATATATATAATTTCGCAGACAGTACTGTTTAACTGTATCACAGCTCCTCATTGCGACTATACATCTGAATGCCAAGATCGAAACCCAACCGATTTGATGTCAGTCGGAGCTTTTACCACTTTTCGGCAGAATGAAACAGCTAAATCTAGCGTATTGTTTTTACGAATGTAAACAAATGCCAATCAGCCGGAGTGCTCTACTCATTTTACTGAAGAGCTTTGCATTAACGCATGTGGGTGTTGTTTATAGAATTAGCTTATCACTCAACAGTACTCAACTGAAATATATTTTCAAGAGCTAAAGTAAATATATATATATATATATATATATATATATATATATATATATATATATATATATATTATTTTATATCCGACGATTATTTTAATTTTTTCTGTTTACACGTTATTTTATAGATATAAGGTAATTAAGTAAATGCACTGTTTTATAATTAAACAGTATTAATGGCATTTACCGACTTGAATGTTCGAGAAATTTCGTAGAATATATGCGCTCTCTGACATGAATTGAACTGTTGTGCTGTTAACCATTCAGTTGCAAATGACGGCTCCCACCAGGGTTACAGGTTCGAGTTCTTTTGAGAGCACATATTTTCTATGAAATTTCTCGAACATTCAGTCCGGTAAATGTAATTAATACTGTGTAATTCGAAAGACTTGTATCATTCTATATAATATTATCTGCAAAAGAAATATTCTTACAATATAAAACATTTTCTGGCTTTAATTAACCTGATCATAGCTCTCCACAACTTTCTATCCTTTGTCCCTCTTAGTAAGGTTTTTCTTTTCATCATCTCTCCGAGTCCTTATGCTAACATCCATTTACATAATCCCGATTGGTCGGTTACTCGTTGATTCCCTGTCTCCCTGGCATTCAAGATGTCATCTGAATGAAATTCTCCTCATTATATCCTTGAAATTTCATCTGTCTCTTTTGGGTTCTAAGCGTGTCTACTATGAATCTTTCTGTAAATAGCCTTTTATCCAAAATACAATGATCTATCGATCTATCTATCTATCTATCTATCTATCTATCTATCTATCTATCTATCTATCTATCTATCTAAATATAAACGTGGTCACTGGTGTTAACACCAAGTGGCGACAGTCTATTTCATGCGTGAATGCAATCTTCAGGTCACCTGAGAAAGATGACCTGAGATTGTGTTTAAGCAGGAAACAGACTGTCGCCTCTTGGTGGTGACTTCAATGTACATTTTTATATTTGCATACTCTCTATCTCTGATATTGAGCACTTTTATCTATAGATATGGCAAAACTTAAAATTATATTTTTATCATATCTATCTATCTATCTATCTATCTATCTATCTATCTATCCAAGCCTCCTTTAGATATGGCATAATTTAAAATTATATTTTTATAATATCTATCTATCTATCTATCTATCTATCTATCTATCTATCTATCTCCCTCTATCTATCAAGCTAATTTAGATATTATATTTTTATAATATCTATTTTTTATAATATCTATCTATCTATCTATCTATCTATCTATCTATCTGTTGAAACTTGACTAATGCATGGAATAATAATGCAACACAAAATGTACTTAGAACAAAATGTATTGAACAAGAAAGTGTACACAATATTTACATATAGTCTTTTGTATATTCCTGGTAAGACCGTTCCTGGAGAATGTGTTGACTGAGTCGCAGTCGGGCAGAGTCTCTGGTTGAATCTCTTGATTCCCCCCTCTCCTCTCGGTATCAACCATATTTATATGTTCGGTACTCCACTATGCAAATTAGGTGGATCCTACCACAACACTATCTATCTATCTATTTTTCCAAGCCCCCTTTCCTCAGTGTGTGCCCCAGAAATTTCAACTGCTTCTATCATGATGTTAAGCATAAGTTTCTTTTTTGTTATCTTTGTCTCTAGAAGCTTGAAGTTGCTCACATTTTCGGTCCATGGTATTCTTAGCATCCTCCTGTAGAACCACATTTCTGTTGCTTGAAGTCTCTTCTACATCGACGAGGAGATTTCCAACATTCACTGGCATATAGGAGGAATGATAGTACATAACAACTGACTACTGTTTTTATCGTTGTTAACAATATTTTTTTGTGTTTCTTAATACTTGTCCAGCTTTTGGAAGGCAAAATTCGCTCTCCTAAATCGCTTTCGGATTTCCGTGACGCACTTTCCGTCCTCTGTTAATAACTTTCCTAAATATCTAAACTGTTGCACCAGTTTGATTTCGATATCTCCAATCTGTAATTTGCATGTTGGATTCTTCCTTTTGCTAACAAAAGTGCATTCGGTTTTATACACAGATGTAAATATATATGGCTGTGTGTATCTATGGACTCATGTGTGTTCCCTTCAATGTATACACTCGTTTCCATTTAGCCAAAATTCAAATAAAAATATATGTCTACAGATATATTTGTCTCATCCACCTATCTGATAATAATAATAATAAAGTGCCTCCTTATTGATATGGCAGTCCCTGCTGACTGCAATGTATCTTTGCAGATATTCAAAAAGCTGTCAAAATACAAGGACCTTGAAATAGAAATCTCAAAAATGTGGCATATGGGAACATCAACAATCCCTGTTATAGTTGGAGCCCTAGGACTGGTTGTAAAAGATTCCAGTAGACTAATTGAAGTGATTCCTGGAAGTCCATGCCTCAAAGAGATACAAAAATTGTTCTGACAAGTACAGCCCACACTTTACGAAGGGCTTTATCTATGTAATTTTTTTTTCAGTGGAAAGTGTCATGACGCCATCTCTAACCTTAGGTCCCTGGGCGGGACCCGGAAAGAAATGTGTAAACGCCAGAAATCAAAGAAAATAAAAATAATAATAATACGAAGAAAGTTTGTTGTACAAAGAAAAAAAATTAAGAAAGAAAATGTTGAGCTGTTGCACAGTGAATAACGCTTTAAAAAGTCTTTGGGAGTAATATATATATATATATATATATATATATATATATATATATATATATATATATATATATATATAAAAAAGCAGGTTACAGTAGTTCGAACGAGAGAAAAGAGTGTATATTAAAAAAGAGAGAAGATGCAAACCTTTTTGTTTGTAATGTGGATTATTAAAAGAAAATATGCTTTATTTTCCATAATAACACGTGTTTCCGGTCTTGCAACCGTCATCAGGCAACGGGTTGAGATTTCCACATATTATCAAAAATAATTCATTTTTTTTCTTTTATTTATGTTTTTCGATGTTAAATATTCTCGATATGAGACATTCTCTTTTTTGTGTTAGTGATCCAAAATACTTTCTTGAACTGGCAATGAAAGTTCTGCGTGAAGGGTTATAAAATAATTAAGATTGGTTCGAGAAATGATGGAGTAGTTATCGGCATGCTTATCTTTTAATGACCACTGTGTGTTCTTAGATCCATTTCCATTTTCGAGTGCTTTTGTCAGCATGCGTGTATATATATGTATATCCCCTCTCAATACATAATTCTGATTATCTACGTATATATGGTGTTGTGTAGCTTAGATGTGGCACAAGCCCGGAAGTATGGGACACCCAATGGGGATTGAACTCACTACTCATTCATAATTTTTCTAGCGAGACAAGCTTGTTAAACATTACACCACGTCGATATGCCCAAATGATTTCCAGCAGACCCCCTTTTAACCCAGGGCAGCACTACCTCCTCAAGATACTTGATGTGGGCCTCCGTGTTGAGTTCGAGGCACTCCTCAACAAATTCGGGAGTTCTTTTCTAATCAGGACGATCAGAGTGAGTTTTCCGAGCTGCCATACCTTCGTAATCCCCAATTAGATACATTGAACTCTTTCCGAATCCTCTGCAACCACTTTACTCAGATTGACTTCCAGACACTCTGAAATGTTCGTATTGGAGCTTTTGGTGCGAATGTCAAGCAGTACAGCATCTCATTTCCCAATTTCTTGCGGAGTGAATTGTGTCATGGTGCTCATTTTCTCACAGAGACTGCCCAACTGACCCTACTATACTGTGCAGTCGACAAAAACAAAAACAAAGCGCATGCGCCAAATTAATTATATAAAATGGCGAAAATTTACCCATCGCCCCGTTTATGCCTGTAGTGTTCTAATTACTGAACAGCTCGTATCCTGTTGAAAGATTCTGAGTTCGAATCAGATAAAACCTAGACTCTTGAAAGCTCGTCTTTAAGATATAAAAACTTTTCGTAGGTTGATCGGCACACTATCAGACTATCGTTATTATTATAACTTAATGCATATATCTTTTTCTTCAATTTCAGAGGAAAAAGAATTAGTCGAAAAATAAACGGGAACTGATAGTGAACGGGTATAAGAAGATGGCAAAGAAAGGAAGCAATAGCGTAGGAAGAAAAGGAAAGAAGATTGAGAGGAAATGAGAAGAAGCAATAAAAGAAAAATCAAAATGAGAGACAGATATCCCAACGCAAGGGAGAAACGAAGAGAAAGGAGAATTAACAGATAGAAGTGAGACAAAGAGTAAGGACGATAGATTAGACAAAAGAAATAAACCAAATTAATAAAAACAAATTAAGAATTATTGGAAAATAGAGAAATTGGACCCGTTTAAAGATCTGCAAAAAATGTTAGAAAACACAAAATAAACAAAAGAAAAGAAAGGAAGTTGATTATAAGTGAATGAAAAGAAGAAATGTAAGGGAAATAAAGGAAAAAATAAAGAAAGACCACGAGATGTGAAAAGAAGAAAAGCAATGAAAAAATAAGGATGAAGAACAAAGAAAGATATCAAAAGCTGAAAGTTAATGAAAAAAAAAATAAAGAAAGAAGAAAAGAAAGAAGAAAAGAAAAAAGAAAAAGAAAGAGGAAAAGAAAGAAAAAGAAAATTTGCCAGTTGGCTGCTTAAACGGTTTTTGATGGTTTCCAAATAAGGTTTTGGCGAACAGGCGTACTTTTACAGAACGGATTTCCGATTTCCTATGATCGAAATGTCTGTAACAATAATACGGCAATAGGCACAAGTTAAGTTTATGGAGCAATAAAAGCCACAGAATCGCAAACACAGGCAAAATTTATGAAATTTTGTCCCGATTCGTTTATGAGGCATTACTTTACGTCGCGCACGAATGCAGTCGCGCCCCCCGGCGAAGCGAGAGAGAAGATTTGTAATGAGCGAGATTTGGCTTGAAAGCAGCACTACACGAAAAGTTAGTTATTGTTGTGATACAAAACGAAGACTGATTGATAGATCAAGATGGGTTACGGATCTGTGTATGGCGTTGTTCTTAAAACCTTAATTAGGAATAAGTCTGAAGAAAATGGCCTGATGGGTATAGCTTTGTGAATTGGAACCTGAGAAAGTAGTTGATGACAGTGTGTATCATTTAGTGTTAATTGTCGAATGAGATCACTCCGACAAGCATAAATGCTGGCTCCGCTAACGGAATCAAACCGATAAAAATAATCGGTTGAGAGTGGAAAACATCTTTTTGTTTGATACGTTTCGAAGTTCTTTAGGATTTCTTCGAACAAAAGTGATGTGTCCGTTGATGTGACCAGACATGTGCATGACGAAGAGGAACCAGAAGACTTACAGTAATTTAAAATATTCATATAAATGGTAGAAAAAAGTTTTCTGTAGTTATTTTCATTTTTTGTTATTGTAACAAAGGAATGTGCGACATTGAAATCCGATGACGTATTGGGAAGGTCAAAGGCGCATTCCAAAAGCTAAGAAGTGTATTAAGAAACGCAAAATTTTCGGTGGAATCAAAGATAAGCGTACTGAACTGTTACGTGATATCTGTCCTTCTTTATGGCAGCGAATGCTGGACAATTGTCTCAAAGATGAAGAAGAGACTCGAAGAAACAGAAATGTAGTTCTACAGAAGGATGCTAAATATACCCCGGGTCGAAGATGTGAGCAACGACTAGGTTTTGTAGAGAATGGAAGCAAAGTAGAAATTTATATTTAACACCAGGAAGATTAATTTGAAATTTCAGGGACACGTAATGAGGAAGGAGGGCTTGGAAAATTTGATACTTACAGGACAGATAGAGAGAAAGAGGGACAATGGAAAGTAACACGTGACATTTAACAGCATTGAGAAAATGGATGACAGAACAGAATTTAATAGAAATGACAAAAAGATAAAATATATTAAGAGCTTCAAGGGGCAGGAGGATATGGATGGCCATGATCGCCGACGTCCTGAAGGGAGATGACATAAAAGAAGAAGAATTTGTTTTCCAGAGTCTGGTGTTTATGCCAAAGTTTCCAGTATTTTACTTTTTTAACTAAATATGAGGACTCAGCTGAACAACAGTTTTTCTCTGAAAAACTTTACACGCACACACACACACACACACACACACACACACACACATCTATTAAAAGTTCAGTTTAGCACCTACCCACACTATTGGATTAGAAACGGGACATTATATAGTAACTGTCATACACTGAATAAATATGAATTAAGAATCAATGTCTTTTTTTTAGCAGCCGTATTGAGTCAGGCTGTTCGCTGCCAGGCTCGCGAAATAGTTGTTAAACTATCTGAGGAACCCAGACGAGGCTATGCTAACGGACAGGTTCTCGTGTGGGGAGGTAGACAGACTCTGCCCCGTGTATGTAGAGTATACGGGGAATTTTTGCCTGAGCCTACGTGCTCGGAATCTTCCCACATAAAAACTACTCTTGTGCCACACCCTGCTTTTCAGGGCGGTTTGGATAAATACCAGCCGTTTGGAGTTAGTTTTCTGTCTGGATTGTGAATGACTGTCTTCGGGCAGAGGATGACTTAGTCGGGGCACTGTCTACGGATTGAGATTCGGTTGAGTAGAACAGTAAAGTGCTCGTTCCCAGCGGTTGCAAGGAATGGATACATTTTGCACCAGCGGCCCGAGTGTTCGCGCTCGTTCTACCCATGTTAAACCTGACCTTGTGTCGCATCGCGTCTAAGTCTGGGAGGGGCATGGGTAAATACCAAGCGATTTGAAGTGAGGAAGTCCGCTACATGGTTCTGATTGTCAAGCTTTCTGTCTTCGGGCAGAGGGAGATTCAGTCGGGTATCTGTCTATAGACAAAAACTTCGCCGAGAAAAACAAAAAACAAAAAAAAAACAATGTATCACTTTTTACGAGGACTGGGTAAATTAGAACAATTTATGAACAATGGCCCGGGTCGAAAGGGTCGGGTTACCCATAACAATCTTTACCTTGTGTCACATCTCATCTCAGTTGGATGACTGGATAAATACCTGGCTCGCGACCGTGAAGTTCACTGTCTTCGAGCAGAGTACGAATTTGTCGTGGCTCTGTCTATGGACGGAAACTCGGCTGAGAAGAACCGACAAGAAATGTGCCCAATTCCACGGTTGCGAGGGCTGGATAAATTTTGACCATTGACCCAAGTGTTTACGCTCGGATTTTCCACAGTAAATTTGATCTCGTATCACATCTAGTCTCAGTGGGAAAACTGATACATACCAGCCATTCGGAGTCAGTCTTAAGACTAACTAATACAGACATCATGGCAATTATCCGAAGCATTGCTTACATTATAACCTCTACGAAACGCGTTATGACAATATTATAAGAGAAGAACTTCAATGCTTTGTCGGGCTCTTCGAAATGGTGTAATAATTAGCAAGCTTGTTTACTACATCAGTTTATGAGTGAGTAGTGCGTTCGATCCTCACGACAAACTTTCGTATTTGAAATGCATTTAAGCTACGCTGAGTAAATCGCTAACTGAGCAATTCGATGTGGTAACATTTTTAGCAAGCTTGTCTCACCATATCAGTTGCTACTGAGTAGTGAGTTAAAGCTACACTAGGTGCTCCATACTTTCGAACATGTGCCATATCTAAGCTGTAGTTAGTAAATCAATATATTTTAATTCCATACGGGAATGTTTCAAAATAATATTAAGCTCAAGCCCCTGTGGGTGGCATCCCCAGGCAATACATCTTCTTCGTGAGGGGTTGGGGTCATTATCCGGTGCCTCAAGTTTCACCCAAAACGGAAGTTCCGAGGGACCGTAAGCAATTATTTCACGGTATTTAATCTGAGCTTGGGGCACATACGGCTGCGACGTGGGCGCACTGATAAATATCTACCTCATATTCCAAGAACATCAGGATTGTCAGATTATAAAGCAGCTGAATTGAAGGATTAATAAAACAGTTTCAAATAGCATTGGGACTAGGAATTTCTCTTTCAAATGTACATTGAGAGAAAAGATGAGTCACTAATGGAAATTGTAACGGTAGAAAATTAGCTGTTTCCATACATCCATACATTCGGCATTCGTTGACCGAGCTGCTAGTACTGCTATTGACTGAAATTTATATATAAGAAAGTCCTGTTAAAGCAATGTTTCATGAAAATGGGTTTCACTTTTTCAGTAGCTTTTATGTCATTATGTCCTCTTCAACTTATATGTGCTATCCATTTTAGTCCTGAAGTGATGTGTTTTTGTAATCTCATACAGATCTTTGTGATGTGGTTTCTGTCATTTGGTACAGTTCTTTGATTCTGTAGCGCGAGTCGACAATATTCAAAGAATGATCTTCGCCAAGACACACAGATTGCACATTCTCAAAGACATCTTTCAACATTGACCTTGGAATGTGACTGTATACATTATACTGAGTAAAGTAACAAACTGCCTTTCATCCAGTATGTGTGCAACAAGATATCAAAATAAAAAGATTGCTATAACTATTGCTGTAACTATTTTAATAATATCCCGCTATAATAAAGTAAGTTTTATATAACGTATCTATGAATACTAATGGGTAAGTCCCAATCTTCCTAAATACGTGGAACACTATTATAAGTGGAGGTGATATGCTGTCTAAGTAGTCCACCATTAGCAGTGGTATACCTACTTCACGCCGCTGGCGAGTCTTGTATTTTGTTGATGTTATAAAGATTACCATTTCATTTCCAACCTCCGTTTTGGTTATTCCTCATTCAGTAACCCTTTCTAGGTTACAACGAGTTTCAAAGTTTAATAAAGTAAGTCATTGATTAATGTAGACGTACAAAAATCAAATTAGATTTATGAATTCAGATAGCAATTATCATAAATCCCACGGAATTAATAAAGACCAAATAATGAAATGACTATGGCTGATAGAGATTTAATAACGTTATGGCCATGAGGTTAAGTAAGAGTTAACATAAGTAAAATACCAACGCATGTTACATTATAAGACAATTTCTTTGCAAATCCAATAGCCTTACCCATAGTGCTCCGACACAGGGAATCAAATTCAACATCTTTTATCTACAACGGATAATTTTGAGAATTTACTTTCATCCAAAGTACATTGCTCGATCTATCTATCTATCTATCTATCTATCTAGCTAGCTAGCTAGCTAGCTAGCTAGCTAGACGTTGCGAATACCATAGACAGGGCGCTTAAGCAAAGAGAAAGTCGTAACGAAATGGAACGAAAAAAGGACACTAACACTCAGAATCAGACATATATGAATGTCTGCGGAACGGATGTAGGGAGATGTAGTAATAATAGGACTACAAAGAACAAAACTTTGTGGCAAGCCATGATCGCCAACATTCAGAAGTGCACCTAGAAGAAGAAGAAGAAGAAGAAGAAGAAGAAGAAGAAGAAGAAGAAGAAGAAGAAGAAAAAAGAAGATGTATAATAATAATAATAATAATAATGATGATGATGGAGTTTAATGGTATATAACAAAAAAAAATGGTACGATAACATCAGTTCAAAACAAAACAAAGAAAAATATCCATTAAGGGATATTTGTGTCTGTCTTTATTTTTTTAAAATTCCATATTCCTCCAGGACATAGACGTTCATTCTTCTCCGCAGTCTCCTTTCTTTATCATCTGTGTGTTGCCAACTTGTTAGGCGAATTCGTGGAAAGGTCTTCCGTTGCCTTCTCCATGGTGCTGAATTCAGATTTATGCGTCTACTTGACTGTTTACCATTCTGGCATGTCCCATATATCCTGCTGTTTAACACATTACGCAAATTCTGTTGAACATCTCTGGGCCATTCTGGGTTTTGAAATAAGGGAAATGTTCAGTAACAGCACAGGATAACTCCTACTCCTAGCAACATGGCCAGTTAGTTCACAAGGGAAAATGGTATATCCAGTAGGTCTTATCAGTGAAAGTGTAAAAACATTTAAAAAAAGTTGCTAATAGTTAATTAATTAAATTTTAATTTAATGTATTAAACATTGTTGAATTGTTTCTCTTTTTGAATAGATACCTGTGAAGAAAAACAGTGATATTTATTAAGCTGTGATCCGCGTGGTTGCTACAAAAGCAAAATATTAACATAAAAACTTCGAGTCATGTTCTTATAGATCCTCGTTAGAAATATGCCTTTGATATCGACTTTATGAAGGGCAACAAAATAGTTAATAAATAACTAAATTGTCGGTTTTCTACAATCTCAATCTCAGATCAGTCTTTTAAAAAGGCATTAATTGAATGTAGCGTGTAGGTCTTAGCGAGGACCATCCTTATTTTTCTGGCGCTACAGAATCACAAACAAATAACTGTAACAAATAACAGAAACCCCACTACTTGAGGACTTTCAAGAACAGCCACAACTAAAATTGGACAGCACATCTAAATCGAAGGGAAAATAATAACATTAGCATGATGTTGGATTTCCACACTACTTCAAACAAAAGGTGAGTAAGGAAATTCCCATCAATACCAGAAAGAGCGATAACATCTACTGAACTTTAGAAATCTATTTTCCTGGAAAATGGATTTAAAGGAAAAGTTTTATGAATTTAAATCGAAAGTATTACCGGTTGCGCGGTCAATGATTGCTGAATGTTTCTCTCTAAGCGAACAACTGATATTATCATTACAATGTCTCCGGAAATGTTGATACTGTAGATATAATGAATAACAGAAATCTATCCATATGTGAAACGGGCAGATAGACGTTTAAGATCAGTTTATGATGAATAAAAAAGACATGGTAGGAAAAGTTTGTGGTTCGATTAGTGATTACGTATGCATGCATATGAGACAAGTGACAAAGGGAAACCAGGAATAAGATCGTCTGTAGGTTTACAGACAGTGAAGCCAGTTTGATTTTCAAAGGTCTCCATTATTTGGCTCCTTTCGTAATTGAGATCTAATAAATAACCTCACAACACGATTAACGTCATTAGAAAAACAGTGAGTTCATAAATTTTATTATTTACTCTAGTCTGATGATTTTAATCTGATTCGTCTTTGTCAGGCTGTTGTAACCTATGGAAGGTTACTGAATAGAATAATCATAAGAAGGTTGGTAATGAACGATAATACTCAGGACACGAACAACATATATAAGATTCACCAGCGGCTTATAAAAGAAGTAGTCAATTGCTAAAAGTGAGCCAAGTAAATGCCCCATTGAATCTCTAACTGCATGATATTTACCCCACCCCACGCGGTCAGATGTGGCACAAGGCCGAATTTAATATGGAGTATCCGAGCCCGTACGCTCGGCTAAAAATTACTCGTAGACCCTGTATAAAACGGGGTCGGGTAGCTGTTTCGAAACGAGACTCTGCCCTTCGACATAGCCTCATCTGAGGATCCTCTCTGCCCAGAGGCAGAGAGTTTGACCAGCACAGCTGGATACGAATCTCCAACAGTAGGATGTCTACCAACCGTCCCCGCGCTCAGATGTGGCACGAGGCCGAATTTAATGTGGGGTATCCGAGCCCGTAGGCTCGGCCAAAAATTCCCCGTTGACCCCGTATAAGACGAATCTCGAACTGCATTTATGAGAAGAGGCCATAGTCGCTCGAAGCAGCATCGGGACTGAATGGTGGATGTGAAGGAATCTCAAATCCTTTCACCTGTTTGAACTTCTTAGTCAACCTGGAAGTGTGGGGCCTCGCATTGTCTTGCTGAAACAAAGACCGACCTTGATTGATAAAAGCAGGTTACTTCTTTTGTTTGTCGTACATGTGGTCTAGCTTCTAACAATACAGTTTAGCCCTGATGGCTCGAGTGGAAATTCCACCAGACAGAAATCAAGGTTTGTTGTTTTCTTTACGCATCCTAAGTATTACTGGTTGCCCGGTCAAGTCAGGACTTTCTGGTTAAGCTCGTAGTACAATTTCATTAGAAAGTTTTCGTTTGCATACGTAAAAATAAATTACACTTACTGGCCTAAACAAGCGGGGGGGGGGGGTGGGGCTTGCTAATTGGGGAATCGGGACTTTTCTCAATATACAATTGATATTAATAAAAGAGGAATCGGAAAATCATTTATGGGGTCAAAAAGCGCGAAATTAATAAACGGGGATGTGTTAATAAAAGGGTATCTATAATACGCGTTATTGTTTTATGAACGTTATGAACATTATTGTGCTATAAACGGTATACTAGTTTTATACAAAGGCAGAGTTTTGCATGCGATCTCAACATCTAAGACCATTAGTAAATTATCTATGTAGCTGATACGACAGTTATTAGAAGCACCTCCGAAAATTAAGAAATTCGGGGTCTTGCAGTTGATTTCTGTCTGACCTAGCTCTAATGATTCCATAGGTTGTAAATTTCAATACGTCACCCCCACCTACACACAAAAAATGAAATAACAAGCTGGTCTTATTTCATAATCAACAATCTGACCCTCAGTTTTCTCTAGTCACGATAAATGGTTGCATTCTCAGTGAAACTGTATGATCGGTCCATCCGAAGTCTTAATTTCACTAATACAATTCTAGATTTCAAATATGAACATTTTATCAAAATATCTATCCTATACTGATTAATAATTATTCTCCTAATAACCTAATTATATATAATTATCCTCTTAATAAACTAATAATTATTCCCCTTTCCATTCAGGTTTTCAGAGATTTAACTGACCTGTGAAAAATAGCCCGTGAATGTCTGAAAAAAAGTCGATAAGCTCTGCTATGTGTATAGCTAAGTTACTTTTGCATCTCAAAGGCGTAGCAACTGTTGTAAGAAAAGCTTACCAACTATATTTTGGATGCAAAATTAGAAACTAAGACAAGGACAGGGTACCACAGAGAAGCTATTATACTTGTGCAGATAATAGCTAACCCGGAACACAAAATATATGGCACCTTGATGGAGAAAAATATGATGGAGAAAAGTACCTGATACTTGCTGCCATACGTCATCTTTACGAGAGACAAAATCGATAAAAATATGGAGTCTTGCTGTTATATCTTGGCTACACTTTCCAATCTCCATTTTCCAGGCTTGATAGAGGAATGCTTCTTTCTAGTCTTCATAAAAGAGGTCTTCTTTCCAGTCTTGAGAGTGGAGGTCTTCTTTCCAGTCTTGAGAGTGGAGGTCTTCTTTCCAGTCTTGAGAGTGGAGGTCTTCTTTCCAGTCATGAGAGAAGAGGTCTTCTTTCCAGTCATGAGAGAAGAGGTCTTCTTTCCAGTCTTGAGTGGAGGTCTTCTTTCCAGTCTTGAGAGTGGAGGTCTTCTTTCCAGTCTTGAGAGTGGAGGTCTTCTTTCCAGTCATGAGAGAAGAGGTCTTCTTTCCAGTCTTGAGAGTGGAGGTCTTCTTTCCAGTCTTGAGAGTGGAGGTCTTCTTTCCAGTCATGAGAGAAGAGGTCTTCCAGTTTCTTCCCAGTCTTGAGAGGGAGGTCTTCTTTCCAGTCTTGAGAGTGGAGGTTTCTTTCCAGTCAACTAAGAAGAGGTCTTCTTTCCAGTCTTGAGAGAAGGAGGTCTTCTTTCCAGTCTTGAGAGTGGAGGTCTTCTTTCCAGTCTTGAGAGAAGAGGTCTTCTTTCCAGTCTTGAGAGAAGAGGTCTTCTTTCCAGTCTAGAGAGTGGAGGTCTTCTTTCCAGGAGGTGGAGGCTTCTTTCCAGTCTTGAGAGTGGAGGTCTTCTTCCAGTCTTAAGAAGAGGTCTTCTTTCCAGTCTTGAGGTCTTCTTTCCAGTCTTGAGTGGAGGTCTTCTTTCAGTCATGAGAGAAGAGGTCTTCTTTCCAGTCTTGAGAGAAGAGGTCTTCTTTCCAGTCTTGAGAGTGGAGGTCTTCTTTCCAGTCTTGAGAGTGGAGGTCTTCTTTCCAGTCTTGAGAGTGGAGGTCTTCTTTCCAGTCTTGAGAGTGGAGGTCTTCTTTCCAGTCTTGAGAGTGGAGGTCTTCTTTCCAGTCTTAAGAGAAGAGGTCTTCTTTCCAGTCTTGAGAGAAGAGGTCTTCTTTCCAGTCTTGCGAGTGTAGGTCTTCTTTCCAGTCTTGAGAGTGGAGGTCTTCTTTCC